ATGTACTGTTTCTTTAAGAAAAAGTTTGCCATGGCCACAAAATACCACTTCACACCCACCAGAATGGCTGTAATAAAAAAGACAGACAATAACAAGTGCTGATAAGGCTGTGGACAAACTAGAACTCTCCCAGGCGGCTCATCAGAATGTAAAATGGTGCCGCCACTTTGGGAAACAGTCTGGCACTTCCTCGGAAGGCTAACATGGAGTTACTATCCAACCCAGTTCTTGGGTATAACCTAGGAGAGGTTATAAAACCTAGGAGAGGTTATACCCAAGAGAAATGAAAACTTCTGTCCAAGGGTGTTCACAGCATTATTCATAATAGCCAAAAAGTGGAAACAACCCAAATGTCCCTCAGTTGATGAATGGATAAATAAAAAGAAATGCAATACTCACACCGGTAATCCTAGCACTCTGGGAGGCAGAAGCAGGCAGATTGTTTGAGCTCAGGAGTTTGAGACCAGCCTGAGCAAGAGCGAGACCCCATTTCTACTACAAATAGAAGGAAATTAAGGCTGCTCCAACCTGACAGAGATAGTATATGAAAAATTGGCTGGGCATGGTGCGCATGCCTGTACAGTTCCCACAGCCTCCACTCGGCGAGGCTGAGGCAGGAGGATTGCTTGAGGCCCAGGAGTCTTGGAGCGTTGCCTGTGAGTTAGGCCTGATGCCACGGCACTCTAGCCTGGGCAAAACGGTAAGAACTCGCCCCTAAAAAGGAAGAAAGGGACAAGGGAAAGGGACAGGAAAGTGAAACGGAAAAAAAGAAAAAGAAATAACTGGATATGATTGCATATAATAATGGGTGAACCAATGAAAAAGCATGCTAAAGTGAAAGAAACCGACGCAACAAAGGACCCCCTAATTGTAGGATGCCCATTTTTTTTGAAATTCCAAAACTAGGCAATCTAATAGAGAAAGAAAGCTTTTATAGAATCAGCTGGGCATGGTGCTCACGCCCTGTAATCCCCAGACACTTTGGAAGCCAACAGATGGGAGATTGCTTGCAGGTCAGGCCCCAGTTTTGGAGGACCGGAGCCCAGACAGCAAGAGTGAGAACCACCCATCGTCTCTCCTAAAGAAAAAAAAGAAATCAGCAGGTGTGGTGGCACACGCCTGCAGTCCCAGCTACTCAGGAGGCCGAGGCAGGAGGAGCTCTTGAGCCCAGGACTTGGAAGTTGCAGTTAGCAATGATGATACCACTGCACTCTACTCAGGGTGGCAGAGCAAGACCTTGTCTCAGGGAAAAGAAAGAAAGTAGATCAGTGGTTGCCTAGGGTGGGCTGGGGGATGATGGCTGAAGGGTACAGGGTTTCTTTTTGGAGTGATGAAAATGTTCTAATACTGATTGCAGTGCGAGTTGGCACAACCCTGGTGAATATACTTAAAAAACCATACCATCGTACTGTTAAAGGATAATGCCTTTTATGGCATGGTGGATTTTTGTCTTTTGAGGACAAAGTTCTCTGCTTTGTTGCCCAGGCTAGAGTGAGTGCCGTGGCATCAGCCTAGGCTCCAGCAACTCAAATTCCTGAGCCTCCAAGCGATCCTGCTGCCTCAGCCTCCCGAGTAGCCTCGGCACTACAGGCATGCCCACCATGGCTGGATAATTTTTTCTATAATATCTAGCTGCCAATTAATTCTCTTCTATTTATATAGAGACTGGGGGGTCTCGCTCTCTGCTCAGGCTGGTTCGAACTCCTGACCTCAAGCAATCTTGCCCGCCTCAGCCTCCCAGAGTGCTAGGTGGTATGTGGATTTTATAAAGCCATTTTTATTTTTTGAGACAGAGTCTCACCTCTGTTGCCCAGGCAGAGTGAGTGCCCGTGCATCAAGCCTAGCTCACAGCAACCTCTATCTCCTGGGCTCAAGCAATTCCTGCTGCCTCAGCCTCCAGAGTAGCTGGGACTCACAGGCATTGCCACCCGTGCCCGGCCTATTTTTTCTATATGTTTTTAGTTGTCCAGCTAATTTCTTTCAATTTTTTTAGTAGAGATGGGGGTCTCGCTCTTGCTCAGGCTGATCTCGAACTCCTGAGCTCAAACGATCCTACTGCCTTGGCCTCCCAGAGTGCTAGGATTACAGGCGTGTGTCACCACGCCCGGCCTATAAAGCCATTTAAAAGTTTGTCAACCTTTGGTCTAGTCAGGAATGGCCTGTGAGGTGACATGTGAGCTTCTCCTTTTATAATTGCCCCAAACCTCTCATAGAATAAATGCATCAGATGACATTTCAATGGGCAAAGCCCTTTACAAGCACTACCTCACTTAATCCTCACAAAACCCCCATGATTAGATACTGACAACCCCATTTAACAGACAAAGAGACTGAAGCACAGAGAGGGAAGGTAATTTGCCCTAGCTCACACAGCTGATAAACAGCAGAACTGGGTTTCAATTCCAGGTGTGTCTGACATCAAAGCCTGCGCCCATAACCACTGAGCCACACTGTACGTTGCTCCCCATTCATTCTCTAATTCATGACCTTTCCCAGATAGGAAGATGGCCCAAAGTAAGAAGGAGGGGACAGGGACAAGCACAGCCTCAAAGGAAGGCAGGAAAGGGCCCACCAGGTGCAGCAGAGAGCAACAGGCATCCCAAGAGGTGTCTCTGGGTGCCCGCTCACAAGGTGAGCAAGATGCTTACTTACTCAGAGGTCCCCAAACTTTAGAGACATAGAAATGACTTAGTGCAGGATGTGGGAGAGCGGCTTATCTAAAAAGCAGACTCCTGGGCCTCGTTGCCAGAGATTCTGATTCAGTGGATCTGAGGTGGAGACAGAAATCCAAAGTTAACAAGCTCCCTGGGTGAATTTTTTTTTTTAAGAGACATGGTCTCACTCTGTTGCCCAGGCTGGAGTGCAGTGGTGCGATCATTGCTCACTACAGCCTTGAACTCTGGGCTATGTCGATCCTCCCACCTCAGCCTCCCGAGTGGCTGGGATTACAGGTGCACGCCACCGCACCAGCCCCAGGTGATCCCTACGCAGGTGGACCAGGGACTACACCATAAGATGTCCAGCATAAACCTCACAGTCAGCACAAGACTCCTCCAGGTAATCCACCCCCACATCTTGGCCTCTCTCTTTTCTCTTTCCTTCCTGACATCCCTGTTCCTGGCTGTCATTCTTCTCCCTATGCCCAGAGACCGCACTGAACATTACAGGCCTCCCAGGCTCTGTTCCCTTGCTTTTCCCTACCTCAAGTGGCCTTCCCCATCTTCCTCTGCTCTGTCTCATCTCCCCCAAGGGGCATCGGCACATCTCCCCTCCCTTGGCCTCATCCCACATGAGCTCTGCTTTTGGGAGTCCGCTCATGTGTCAGCCTCTTTATTAAACCTTCCCTGACCACAAGCAAGTTTCTTTACTGCTTCTATAAAATGAGGATGACAAGTAAAGGAGAAAATGTATACAAGGAGCATTATAGGCACTTAAATAGTAGCTGTTATTTTTATATAGTTGCTTGACCTTGTGTAGGTCAGTTTAAGAGCTCTTGCGCCAAGCACTGTGGTTATTTACACAGTTAACATACCTATTACTACTTTCATTTTATAGTGTAAGAAAATTAGGCAAAGAGAGGTCAAGAAACTTGTCCAAGTTCACCCAGCTAGAAATAGGCTGCACTTGAATTTGTTTTTTTGAGACAGAGTCTCACTTTGTTGCCCAGGCTAGAGTGAGTGCCGTGGTGTCAGCCTAGCTCACAGCAACCTCAAACTCCTGGGCTCAGGCAATCCTTCTGCCTCAGCCTCCCAAGTAGCTGGGACTACAGGCATGCGCCACCATGCCTGGCTAATTTTTTCTATATATATTAGTTGGCCAATTAATTTCTTTCTATTTATAGTAGAGACAGGGGTCTCACTCTTGCTCAGGCTGGTTTCGAACTCCTGACCTGGAGCAATCCGCCTGCCTCGGGCTCCCAGAGTGCTAGGATTACAGGCGTGAGCTACCACACCTGGCCTGCACTTGAATTTGAACTGAGGCATCAGTTCTGAGCTCTTCTTCATCATGACTTTCAACAATATGAGATAACAAATACCAAGACTTGGGAAAAGGGCCTGGCATACAGTAGGTGCTCAGTAAACGCTAGAGACTGAATTGAGTTGAATGGTTTCCACATCTAGGGAGAGGAGGAAAAATCACCCAAAGACTTTACTGGTCATGATGTCTCATGCTTTTTATTTGATAAGACTCGACATCTCTAATCAGGTCTCAGATCTCTAATGAGAATGGGATGTAAAAAAATAATTCAGAAAAAAATTCAGAATAGTGTCCCACTCAAAGCTTAGTGGGCCCAAAGCTCACCAATCTACTTCAATGGAGTGATAATGGATTTTAACTTCAGAATATTAAGATGGTACAGGGATATTGGGGAAGGAGACAGGGTATTCAATCTAGTCCCAACTATCCTGCTCCCCTGCCCCTGAATATCTCTCCAAGTCATTCTATTTTTTTTTTTTTTTTTGAGACAGAGTCTCGCTTTGTTGCCCAGGCTAGAGTGAGTGCCGTGGCATCAGCCTAGCTCACAGCAACCTCAACGTCCTGGGCTCAAGCATCCTCCTGCCTCTCAGCCTCCCAGTAGTGGGACTACAGGATGCGCCCAATGCCTGGCTGATTTTTCTATTATATAATTAGTTGGCCAAATTAATCTTTCATTTATAGAGACAGGGGTCTGCGCTGCTTGCTGCAGGCTGGTTTCGAGAACTCCTGACCTTGAGCATCCCACCGCGCGCTGCGGCCTCCCAGAGTGCTAGGGTTACAGGCGTGAGCCACCTCGCCGGGCCTGAGCCTGGGTTCTTTTCTACAGCGTTAGGCAGCTGCTCACCTGAACTGTATCAACAAGGAATCCTGTGGGTCACATTTCTTCCAACACAGAGGAACTGTGACAACATTACGCTAAGTGAAATCTCCAGTCCTGTCCCCTTTCACCCAGCTGCCCAGTTCTTGGTGGCTCAGAAGTCAAGAAGGCGACAGGAAAAAGAACACAGAATCAACGCATTCTGTTGGTTGAAACAAGACCCAAGATATCATGAATTAAGTCAAGTCTCGGGAAAAATAAAAAAGACAGTCCCAACTGGGTGGGTCGCAGGACACACAAGGTAACAAGAGTCACCACCGAGTACAGACTAGGAGGCTTTCCGGAAATGGACGACTTTCTGAAAGGCTTGCCGAAACTCTTCGTTGAACACGGTGTAGATGATTGGATTGATGAGGGAGTTTAAGTAGCCCAGCCAGGTGAAGAAGTCGAAGAGGGCTGGGTGGAGCCAGCAGGAGTCCCTGCAGATGGGGAGGACCAGAGATGCCACGAAGAAGGGCAGCCAGCAGACGATGAAGGCGCCCAGAATGATCCCCAGGGTTTTGGTGGCTTTCCTCTCCCGAGCTGCGGAAATCCGCTTGCGCTCCAGGACGCTGTCGGCAAGCTTGATCTTCACGTGGCTGAAGAAGAGAGGGGAGCCGGCCGGGTGCGAGTGCCCTTCGTGGAGGCTGGAGCTGAGCGAGCAGAGCGAGGACCCCGCGGAGCCCGTGATGAGGTGGGCCGTGGTGAAGCGCTTCCCATAGAGCGAGGGCGGGTTCAGGATGCGGCTCCGGGCGGCCCTGTAGATCCGGCCGTATAGGATGATGAGCAACACGGACGGGATGTAGAAGGCCCCGCAGGTGGAGTAGATGGTGTAGGAGATCTGAGAAGTGTTCACCAGGCAGTCCGACATCTCCTCCTGGGCTTTGGCCTGTCGCCAGAAGAGCGGCGGGATGGAGATGCAGATGGAGATGGCCCAGACGACGGCGACCATGGTGGCCGCGTGGCAGGCCGTCCGGCGCTTGCTGTACTCCAGGGCGTCAGTGATGGCCCAGTACCTGTCCAGAGCAATGACACAGAGGTGCAGGATGGAGGCTGTGCAGCACGTGATGTCAGAGGACAGCCAGATGTCGCACAGGATTTGGCCAAAGTTCCAGGTGTGAGTGGTAGTGTAAGCGATGCTGATGGGCATGACCAAGATGGAAACCAAGAGGTCGGTGGTGGCCAGCGAGCCGATGAGATAGTTGGCGGGCGTGTGGAGCTTCCTGGTGAGTAGGATGGTGGTGAGCACAAAGGCGTTGGAGAGGACTGTGGCCAGTGTGATGATGGAAAGGACCACGGCAAGGGAGATCTTGAGTGCCTGCAGGGTCCCGGGATCCCAAGCCCCGGGGCTTTCTGTGGCATTCAGGGATCTGTTGGAAGCCTCCTGGGGAAGGCCTTCTGCTGACTGGTTCGGTGGGGACATGCTAGGTGGCTCTCTCTTCCTGCAGACTTCCACACACTCAGCCCCTGCTTTCGAGGTGGCCCTGCCTACAGGGCAAGGTCCTCCTTCTGCGTCACACTGGTGGCAGCCATACATCAGAGCAGGCCATGGTGAAAAGACCTCAAGATCTGCCTATTTGAAGAGCACAGAGATAACTACCTGCTGGTAGTTACAGGTCTTTCCGACACCACGTGAATCTGAAGCTGTCCCCTGGTTCTGGAACTTTGCCCAGCAGATAGTCACACCCAGGGGACACATGCTGAATTGGTTAGACAATTATCAGGACATCATACCAGTGTGGGCAATACTCTGGGATTCTTGCCTGTAGCATCTGGACTCTTTTCAAAGCTTGAGACATCCGTGCGTTTTATGAGAACTTCAGAATTTCCCCCATCCTAATTGAGAAGATTCTGGATTTCAGCTTGCCTCTGAGGAGCTTTTAAAACTAGAGACAAAAGGAAGTCACAGCCAATTCAGAGAAGCAGTGCAGTCAGCAGCTCAGTCTTCCCAGGTTCACCCTGATGCTGCTTGAGGGACTTTGGTTCCTGTCCCACTGATGGTTTTGAGCGGAACAGACAAAACATTCCGGTTACCAAGACTTGAAGAATGCATGAGCTGGGAGAAGGCAAAACAAACAGACCACTGCGGGGCACATGTTCAGGAGCTCTGGGGTTTAAACAAGGAAAAAAAAAAGGAAAGCATTAGGTTCTAGAAGGACAATTCAGAGGCCTGAAATTAACTATAAGATTAAAAAAAAAATACTACTTAAGGCCTGGCAGTGGTGCTGTGAAAGTGACGATCTCAAAAGTGTCAGGCGAATGCAGGAGGGTGATGTGTCCCACCCCTACAATCCCCAGAGGGGACAAAGTATCATAGCTGTTAAAAGCATCACAGGCTAGTACATGAAATCAGCTCTGTAAGTCGTGAATCAGAAAGCATCATCCTATTTATTTAGCAACAATGGAAACAAAATAAAATAAAACTGTGGGGGAGGGGCTATTAGGAAAGAAGCCAAACTGTTACAATGTATTTCTCTATGAAGTATGGGAGGGGGTACCCTTTCTTCTATTCATTCGAATTTTTTCAAATTTCCTAAAGTGAGCATCCATGACTCTTAAAACCAAAACCCAAACCAACAATAAAAAAACAACAACGCTAAACAAACATCATCTTGTTACCAAAATTAACAAAAAAAACTTTTTTTTTTTGCAGACAGAGTCTCACCTTTCCGTTGGCCAGGCTAGAGGAGTCGCCATGCCATCAACCTACACCGCTCACAGAAACCTCAAACTCTGCTCACGCATTCCTTCTGCCCTCGCCTCCCGAGTAGCCTGGGATTACGGCAGCCCACCACTGCCTGCTACATTACCATTACATATATACTCATCAGTTACTAGACCTTCAGTTGGCCAATTAATTCTTTCATTTAGAGTAGAGATGGGGTCTCCTCTTGCTTCAGGCTTTTCGATACTCCTGACCTCAAACACACAATCCAGCGCCCCCTCGGCCTCCCAGAGTGCAGGATTACAGCGGGCACCCATCACCCGGCCTCATTTGTTAAACAAAATTAATTAACTGCAAAAATAAAAACCCTGAGCATTTTTAATGGTGGAAGTTCAAATCCAAAAAAATACATTCAGCTTTCCAAATGAAAACCGGAAATTCAGCCACAAAAAAAATCTTGGGAGCTCCCAGGTTGGTGAAAGCAGCCACGTGCCTGGAACGTGGCATCCTCCATCACAAGCTCCTGTGCTTGGGACTGTTGCAGACCTTGTCCTGTGTACCTTTTCGTCTGGCTGTTTATTTGTATCCTATGTAATAAACCAGTAAATATTGTTTAAAAAATGTTGAAGACTCAACTCTTGTCTCCTCTGTGAGCCACTGGCCTCTGGGTTTAAGTGTCTGGGACGTGGGCAAGCCTTGAGGTTCCTGGGGCTCGGAGCCCTTGGTGCTGACGATCAGGATGAGGTGAGCCAGAGGGCAAAGCCAGTGCGAGCCCATCTCTGGCATGACCCCATGGAGCCTGGCAGGCAGCCCCTGGGTGCTCTGGGTTGGCAAGAAGAATGCCAAGACCCCTTATCCCCACCCCACCCCGCCTTGCGTGGAATGCTAGTAATACAACTCCACAAGAGATCCCTACAATCTGTTTTATTTCTTCCAGGTCAACTTAGCAAACAGGTCCTGCCCTGGGAACATTGACAGACTAGCAAGGGAGGCAGCCATGAAGCTTCAAGGACCCTAGGAAGGAGAAAGGAAGGCAGAATTTATATAAATACATTGTTTTTTTAAAAAAGTGATCATTATGATTATGTATGAATTTGTTTCGAAGTGTATATGTTTTTCAACTTCATATATTTTGAACAATGTTCCATCAATCACTCCCACATCATCATTCTTTTTTTTTTTTCCCCAGACTGGCCTGACCCACAACATCATTCTTAAGGGCTGCATCTTTTTCTGCCAGGTGGCTACATTAAGGAGAAGGGTTTCACAGTCAAAGGTGGGAGTGATGGCATTCCTGGTGGCTGCAGAAGCCACAGCAAAGGCCCAGAGGTCAGAAGTGCAAGGCACGGGATCAGAAGATGGCAAAGAAGCGAGCTAGCCGGAGTACGGAGAGCAGAGGAGACTAGGCTCGGGAGGTGGCTGGTGCCAGGCGTGGAAGGCAGCAGGGCACAGAGACAGTTTGGCTTGGACTGGGGCAATCGGGGCCCTAATCTCCCTTCTACTTATGTACGACCTTGGGCAAGTCCTTTCTCTTTGCTGAATCTCAGGTTTCTTCCCCTACACAGTGGCTACCCCACCTGCCTCCCAGAGCTGCTATGGAGCTCCCATTGCTCCCGGCAAGGCCAGCACTTGGTACCCAGGAAAAAACGAGAGGTGTCAAGAATCATTATCATCCTGCTCCCTTTCCCCACAGCTCAGCTCAAGGTTTTATCAGGAAGGTTCAGTCTGTGTCTGTTGATTGACTGACTTTTAAAACATTAAGAAGCTAGGCAGGGTGCAGTGGCTCATGCTTGAAATCCTAGTACTCTGGGAGGCCAAGGTGGGAGGATCACTTGAGGTCAGGAGTTTGAGACCAGCCTGAGCAAGAGTGAGACCCCTTCTCTACCAAAAATAGGAAAAATCAGCTGGACAACTAAAAAAATATATACATATAAAATTAGCCAGGCATGGTGGCACATGCCTGTAGTCCCAGCTACTCAGGAGGCTGAGGCAGGAGGATTGCTTGAGCCCAGGAGTTTGAGGTTGCTGTGAGCTATGCTGACGCCACGGCACTCTAGCCTGGGCAACAGAGTAAGGCTCCGACCCAAAAAAAAAAAAGAAGAAAAGAAAACCAATCTTAAGCTGCCAACCCCAAAACACATCCCAGAATGTGAAGGATATGATTATAATATCTTTTGTGGGGCTCTTGCTGTGTCTCTCCCAAGCTCTGAGCTAGCTCCAGGGCTGAGTCACCCACCCTGACATAGGCAATGTGGCCCTCAACTCACAAGTGAGCCAACCGAGGGCACTGGAGCAAGGTCACCCAGTTGAAAGTGGAAGAACCGGGTCCAGAGCTCTCCAAATTTCTACCTTTCTCTACATAGCTGCAGTTCAGGACCAAAAGCCTCAGGGCATGCGTGCTTGGGGGTGGGGGGAAGCAGGTTGGACAGCCCCTGCTGTCCCCACTCGCCCCAGGCTCCACCTCAAAAGCCTCCAGCTGAAGTTCTCCTCCCACTTCGGTTCACACAGAAAATGTGAACACAGGTTGGATGTTTGGAATTCTCTTCCCTTCAGACAGTCTGGGTGAGAGAGGTGTCGTCATTTCCCGCAGGCGGCTGGTGAGCTTGCCCTGCAAACCCACGCGGTCACTCCTTGGCTTCCAGGCATTCCAGTAACGTGATTTCAGTGCAAGGCCTGGGGGCCCTCCGGCCCTTGGTGACATCTTGGGAAGAAGGACAGGGATGGGTGGGTGGCCTTGGTCAGGAAGGCTAGGGGCAGCTGTGCAGGAAGCTGGTCCCCTCCTCTCCTGCCTGCTGCCCTGGCCACCCTGAACAAAGTGGGGGGCATTTCCCATAACCCAGCCATCTTTGGAGAGACGGGCTGTAGCTCTAGAAGCAACTACCTCTCTCCTATTACCCTTCAGATAATACAATTAAAAATACAAATTAAAACAATGAGATATCATTTTCACCCAGAAGATAGGTAAAAATTTTAAAATCTGATTGTGACATGTCAATTAGTAAGAGTATAGAGCAATAGAAATTGTCATCTACCACTAGTAGACAATATAAACTGAAGGAACCCCATTAGCAAACAATTTGCTATTATCTCATAAAACTAAAGATGTAACGACTACCTCATGACCCAGTAATTCCATGCCTGAATATGCATGCCAGGGAAACTCTTCCATATGCTCACCAGAAGACAGGAATGAGGACGGTCGTAGCAGCACTGCCTGTAATAGCAAACATCTCGAAACAACCCACAGGTCCATCAACAGCAGAATGGCAGAACACAGCATGTTCCCATGATGAAGTGCTACAGGCAAGCCAAACAATAAACAAAGCTGCACTCATCAAAACAGCGATTCTCACAAACGAGACTGAGTGCCGGCCGGGTGCGGTGGCTCACCCTGTATCTAGCACCTGGAGCGAGGCGGCGGTTGCTCAGGTCAGGAGTTCAAAACCAGCCTGAGCCGAGAAACCCCGTCCTACCAATAAATGAAAGAAATTAGGCCAACTAATATATATATATAAATCAGCCCGGGCATGGTGGTCGTGCCTTAGTCAAGCTACTCGGGAGCTAGCAGAAGATCGCTGAGCCAGAGTTGAGGTTGCTGTGAGCTAGCTGACCAACGGCACTCACTCTAGCCTAGGCCAGAAAGCGAAGACCTCTGTCTCAAAAAAGAAAAAAAAAAAAAAAAAAAAAGAAAAGAGACTGACCAACATCAAAAACATGCAAGAAAACCAAACTGCTAGGAAGATAAATATATGTGGCAAAACCATAAGGAAAAGCAACGATAAATATAAAATTCAATATGGTTACCCCTGGAGAGGAAAGGAAGTGGGAACTTAATCATGGAAAAATTTAAAGGTGTCAATGATGTTTATTCTATTTTTTAAGGTGGTGGTAGGGGCTGGGGGCGGTGGCTCATGCCTGTAATCCTAGCACTCTGGGAGGCTGAGGCGGGAGGCATGAGGCATGCTTGAGGTCAGGAGTTTAAGACCAGCCTGAGCAAAAGTGAGACCTCATCTCTATAAAAAATAGAAAAAAATTAGCTGGGTGTGCTGGTGCACACCTGTAGTCCCAGCTAATTGGGAGACTGAGGGAGGAGGATCATTTGAGCCCAGGAGTTTGAGGTTGCTGTGAGCCTAGGCTGACCCATGGCACTCTAGCCTCAGACAAGAGTGAGACTCGCTTCAAAAAAAAAAAAAAAAAAAGATGCCAATTAGATTTCAAAACTTGCACTCACATAGAGATAGACACGCACACACATGCACTCAACAACTATACCCAATTAAAGACTTCAGATTCTCAAACCCAATATAGCTACCTCTAACTCTCAGGATATCTCTGGGAGGAAGACTTGATACCTTGATTTTACAGACGAGAAAACTGAGGCTGTGGGAGGTCCCATGCAGGAGGAAGAATGAGATGAAATAACAGCTGTGGATACATCTTGTAAAATAGAAAGCCCTGTCCAGATTTGTGAAGAGTGATTTCTCCATGCAGGGCTCACTCATCTGTACCACACAGCTTCTAGAGAAAGAACAGACATAAATTCCTCTGTGGGGGATTTATTCTACTGCAACAAATCTTTTATCACAAAGCTTTAGTTTTTGTTCTCCGAAAGGATGAGGCTGGCTTCTGAGGACACATTAAACCCATACATCTTCTTTGTTTCTGGCAAGGTTTTATGACTCACTTAGTTAAAGACCCTTCAGAAAGGGAAGGCGACTGATCCTCCTGAAGCCAAAGGAGCCCTGGGTGGGAAGCCTTTGTGAAGAGGGATAAAAGGACCACCTGCTGTGTGCCAGCCACCGTGCCAGCCACGTTATCCCTGCTTCACTGAAGCTGCATCGCAACGCTGGGAGAAAGATGTCCTTACCCCAATTTACAGAGGAGGAGGAAGGGCCCATGACTAGCCTTGGATCCCACAGTAGGGACTATTTCCTAGAAAGGAACTGAAAAATCCTATCTTGTCACCATTTCTCAGGGCCTGCCCCGTGCATGTGAACTGGCTCAGCTGGGAAGATATGAGTTGGGGCAAATGAGGTTTTCTTGGTAGAAGGTCACCCGTGGACGTCCAAGAATAAGAAGGAGTATTTTCAGTCCTGGAAATCTCTCTCTGTCTCCTCTCCTGGGGCAGGTAGTTCCTCTCTCTGTTTCTTTCCCTGTCTGCCCCATTCCCCTGTCTCTCTCTAAGGACCCGTTTTCTTTGTTTACATTTGGCTTTTCTGTTCCCCCTGAACCTTCTCTGGCTTTAGTCATGGCTGCAGCCTTGGCCTTCAGGTCGCTCCTCCTCCATCTTCAATCCAGCCAACTGCCCACAGTCTCCAGTCTAAATTCCCAAGAGAGAATCTGATTGGCTCATTTTGGGTCACATGTCCACCCTGGTCCAATCAGCTGTGGTCAGAGGTGGTCTCTGAATCAGGTTGGGGATGGGGACCCAGATCTATCTGCTTTTCCCTTTCCATCCCTTTGCAGAGCATGCCAGAGCAGGGGGTCACACGGTGTGGCTGGAGTCTGTGTGATCTGGACTTCAGGGGAGATGCTGCCGCACTGAGGGGAGGCTTGGGATGTCCTTGCTGCTGCTCTCCTGGCTCTGGCCCCGGAGTACGGGTGGGAGTTCTGACAATGGCAAATATGGCTCACTAACATGGACAGTGGCACTGGGCATGCACCACCGTGCCCAGTCTTTTTTCTTTCTTTTTTTTTTTTTGAGACAGAGTCTCACTTTGTTGCCTGGGCTAGAGTGCTGTGGCATCAGCCTAGCTCACAGCAACCTCAAACTCCTGGGCTCAAGCAATCCTCCTGCGTCAGCCTCCCAAGTAGCTGGGACTACAGGCATGCGCCACCATGCCCGGCTCATTTTTTCTATATATTTTTAGTTGGCCAATTAATTTCTTTCTATTTTTTTTAGTTGAGACGGGGTCTCGCTCTTGCTCAGGCTGGTTTCGAACTCCTGACCTAGAGCGATCTCCTGCCTCGCCTCCAATGCTAATAGCCAGCCATTTTTCTATTTTAGTAGAGACAGGGTTCTGCTCTTGCTCAGGCTGGTCTAATTGGTGCCTTGGGGTGTAAGCCAATCAATCTTGAACCTCGGTTTCTCTAATCATAAAATCTGGACAATGCAGAAAATAAAAAGTAGCCAAACCTCTGACCCAGCACTTCCACTCTTAGCTATGCACTCAGTGAAAACATGTGTCTATGTCTACCAAAAGATGTATGCAAGAGTTGCTCATTCCAGCACTAGTCATAACAACCCCAAACTGGAAACTACCTAAACAAACCTCAACATGGAATGAATCAGTCATTGTGGCATTTTCATACAGTGGAATACTATACATGGATGAGAATGAACCCCAGCTACACACAACCGGGTGGATGAGTCACACAAACACAACGTTGAGCAGGAGAATCCAGGCATGTGTGATTCAAACTCCATAATGTTCAGGAACAGGCAAAACTACACGGATGGAAGTCAGGCTGGTGTGGCATAGGCCAGGGGAGGGGCTGCAGTGACCAAGGGAGCACCAGGGGGCTTCTGAGGGCAGGCAGGTCATGTTTGTTTCTTGAGCCAGGTATGTCCACTTTGTGAAAATTCATCAAGCTACACACTTGTGTTTTGGGAACTTTTGCCGTTGTAAAAATTTAACTTAGATGAAATGCCTAACAGCCTTAAGCACCAGTCCTGCTGGTCACAGGGAGACCTTGGCCACATCATTAGCCTCTTTGAGCTCAGTTTCTTCACGTGGCAAATGGGGACAATAACAGTATCGACCTCACGTGGCTGTTATGTTTGAGTGAGCAGAGTGGAAGGCTCCAGGTATATAATAAATGCTCTATAAATTATACTTCGTTACAAGTAACAGTCCCTCGCTGCCAAACATGGCTTACAAGGGACTTTTTAAACCATCTAATTCAATTCAATCAGCTGATGCCCAGAGAGGCAGGGAAACCTGGCCAAGATCATATGGCAAAGTTCGGAATCCCTCCCGGCTCAGCTCGGTGCTCCTATTTTTTATTTATTTTTTGAGACAGAGTCTCACTCTGTTGCCTGGGCTAGAGTGCCATGGTGTCAGCCTAGCTCACAGCAATCTCAAACTCCTGGGCTCAAGCAATCCTTCTGCCTCAGCTTCCCAAGTAGCTGGGACTACAGTCATGTGCCATTGTGCCCAATTTTTTTCCATATATTTTTAGTTGGCCAATTAATTTCTTTCTATTTTTAGTAGAGATGGGGCCTCACTCTTCTATATATTTTTATACAGTCATGCGCCATTGTGCCCAATTTTTTTCTATATATTTTTAGTTGGCCAATTAATTTCTTTCTATTTTTAGTAGAGACGGGGCCTCACTCTTGCTCAGGCTGGTTTTGAACTCCTGACCTTAAGCGATCCTCCCGCCTTGGCCTCCCAGAGTGCTAGGATTACAGGTGTGAGTCACCGCGCCTGGCCTCAGTGCTTCTATTATACTATCTCCTGCTGCCTCCACCTTCCCTGGGTTCTCTAGGTTCAGCATGGATTCTGGATTCTGTCTCTGGATTCTGGGTTCTGGAAGGACTAGCTATGGCCAACAGAATGAGGCGGAAGTGACAGTCAGTTAGTTCCAAATTTAGTCCTCAAGAGGGTGTGTGTGTTGCCGCTTGCAATCCGCCATGGCCATGGGAAGAACATGCCTGGGCTAGCCCACTGGTTCCTGGGGAGGAGATGGAGGCACATGAAGCAGAGCTACCCCAGCCGAACACAGCCTAGAACAGAGACCTTCAGCTGACCAGCAGGTCCTGCTCACATGAGCCCAGCTGAGATCAGCAGAAATACCTGGCCAAGCTCAGATTAAATCACCCAACCACCAAACAAATGAGTCGTAGTAATAAACATCATTGTTTTAATCCACTGAGTTTGAGGGTGACTTGTTACACGGCGAAGGCCAGCTGATCCCGTGCCCTCACTCCCTGCATTGCTAGCTCTGTCCATTCTACTGCCTCCACCTGACTCTGCCTTGCTCCTCTCCCCTCTGCATGCTACTGTCACCGTCCTGTTTCAGGACACAAAACCATCCTCCTTGGCCTAAGTGGTCTCCCAGCCTCCACTCCTGTGCCCTGTCCATTTTCTTACCACATCACACCCGGAATCTTTCTTTCAACTAAGTCTGAGCATGTCACTCCCTTAAAACCCTCCCGTGGCTCTGCTGCACGTGGGATGGAGTCCCGGCTTGACGGCTTGGTTGGAGAGACTCTTCATGAACCCATCTCTCCTTCCATCTCCAGCACCGTCTCCTGCCACAGCTCGCCGTGACCCTCACAGCCCCGCAGCACAGACCTGCCTGTTCTCCTGCCAGCAGCCTCCTGCCAGACGCAGGCTCTACTGCTGCTTCCTGCTCCGATCCTTTGGCCCAGCCGTGTCCTCTGCCTGCAAAGCGTCCTCTCTTCAGCCCTCCGGCTGCCTGACTCCAAGTCACCCTTCAGGACTGGGCTCTGGTGTCTCCCCAGGAAGATTTCCCTAACCTGGGCTCAGGCACCCCTCTCCTGGGTGCCCGCCACCCCAGCCGTCACCATGCTGGACTGTCCCTGCCACTGCACCGTGAGCTCCTTGAGTGCAGGGAACTTGTGTCACCCACTCGGATGGCCCTGACACCCGGCCCAGAGCAAGAGATTGACAAATATTTATGACAGTCTCCATGCACAGGTGAGGAAAGGACCCTGACAACAGAGCAGGCTGTTCCTCCCCTGGGCCCAGTGTGAAAATGAGGTGGTTGGACCAGATCAGAGATTCTCTTGATAAGCATCAGAATCACCCAGGGAAGCTTTAAAAAATACAAATCTGTTTTTAAAAATACAGATATCTAGGTCTCGCCTCCCCAGGGCATAGAACCCAGGCACTGACTTTTTTTTTAAAACTTCTCAAGTGTTTCTCAGGTACAGGCAGGATGGAAAACCGCTGGCCTGCTTCTCTTCCTCACTGACAGTCTGGTTATCTTTACAAATCAAAGACAGGCGAAACCCATTTTCAAGGCCTTTGCAACAGTTAGAGAAGTAAGGGATCCAACTTCTTCCTACTTTCACCCTTGCATTGGGTCACTACAAGCTTTCAACTGGCAAGGGACCACCTTGAACAACTAAACATGCTGTTAAAAGGCATTTGTACCTAACAACTCACTGGATTCTCCCAGGCTTGTGGGAAAGTGGGGAAAAACAAACAAACAAACAAACAAACAAAAAAAAAAAACTCTAATCATCTGCCCCTAATACTACTCCCTGGGGGCAGAATTAGTACACTCATTTTACAGATGAAGAAACTGAGGCCCAGAGAGGTAAAATGACTAGCTCAAGGCCACAACAGACAATATTTGGCCCAGCAGAGCTGAGAAACAGAATAGCTACCACTGGCTCTACACGTGGGCACTGAGTGCTTGAAATGTAGCCACTGATGTGCTGTTAATATAAAATACACACTGGATTTCAAAGACTTAGTCAAGAAAAGAATGTAAATTGTCTCATTAATACATTTTTATATCAGTTACATGTCAAAATGATAAAT